GTGGCGCAATCTTGTCTCACTGCAACCTCTACCTCCCAGGTTCAAGCAATTCTCCTGCCTCAGCCTCCTGAGTAGCTGAGATTACAAGCATGTACCACCATGCCCAGCTAATTTTGGTATTTTTAGTAGAGACAGGATTTCGCCATGTTGGCCAGGCAGGTCTCAAACTCCTGACCTCAGCTGATCCACCCACCTCAGCCTCCCAAAGTGATGGGATTACAGGCTTGAGCCACTGTGCCCAGCCTTACTGTTTTTATTTTAACCTGCATATACCTATGCTTCTGTCTGCTATAGGCATCCTAAGTGAATTAATTGGTACCACATTTAATTAGAATGAGAGCTCTGAAGCCCTTACATTCTGTTGCAGAGCCCACAAGTTGAATCTGCTGGAGTATCAGAGGCTATTTTAACCAGGAGCAAGTGACCCATTCCCTTCTGCAACTCACCCCACCCACCCACACCCGCTCGTTCCATGCCACACTTCCTTGGCACTTTAATCACAATTTGAACTGATTGCTCAGCCATAAGGACCACATCCTACTCCTTGTCCTCCTCCTCCCTTCCCGGTCTGAGATGATATATCCAGTGCTACTGAAAGTGTAGGAGTACCAACCAGTGGCACTAGGAGAACCTGGAGCTTTGTAGAAATAAGAATCTCAGGCCCCACCCAGATTACTGAATCTCTAGAGAGGGGCCCAGCCTTCTATTTTCTTGCCAACCCAGTGCAGGTTCTTAATACCTGGGTATCATGATGTGCTTGAGAATACTCTTAAACTCGTAGCACAGGAAAGGGTCTGCCACCTGGTGGGCACTTAGGAAATGTGCATTTTTTTTTTCCCCTTCCTTGAGTGCACGTGGGGAGCCACTTGAGTCCCTCCATTCTTGGTTGGGCCTTTCTTTGGGCCTGACTTATCTCAGTCGCCAACTGGAAGGTCTGCTTAGTCACTGCCTAATAACATATCACCCTGGGACTTGAGCCCTTCTGAGAACCCCACGCTGTTTGACTGAGGCCTTGATCCTCCCCTGAATTCTTACAAGGCTTCTCCCCTCTACCCTCTCATGCCCTACCGTACTTCTCACTGGGAACCACAGGGTCCCACCTCCCACAGGATGGGTTCTAGACAGATGCGTGGATCCCTGGAGCTGGACCTAACCAGCCCTGCTGAACCCAGGCAGTCAGGCCTCTATACTTTTATGTCAATCACGGACCTTCCTGAAACCGTGAAACCCAAGGGGAGAAACAAGGCAGGACTCACCCACCTCCCTGGTGGACTCAGAATAAAGGAGAGCAGTCATCAGTGATCTCGCGGAAATGTCTCTGTGCTTAACATTTTCCAAACTGATTCTGGAATACCCAGGAAGGCAAGAGGAAATGAGTTAAAATAATTTTAAGAACAAGTTATTTCCTCCCATTATAAAAGCCTATATGTTCATGGTAGAAAAAAAAAAGTCTACAAATTTTTTAAATTGCAAATGGTTTCAAATCAGTTGGAGTTCTATCTCCCAAGGGTAGGCACTGTACATTGTTATTATATTTCAGTCTTTTCTCTGTGCATGTGTATTTTTTATAAACCTGGGATCAGACTAGGCATACCATTTTAACCAGCTTTTAATGCCTAACAATATATCATGAACATTTTCCCATGTCATTAAATATTCTGAGTCCTGACTTTCATTAGCTATAGATTGTTCTTGCTTATAGATGTATCATAATTTATGAAACCAGACCTCAAGATTTAGACAAGTTAAAGTAATTTTTTAAACAATATCTTATGTCAGCAAAGGGGAAAACTATTAACTCGTGCTCTTCATAAAGAAAAAAAATGAATCAAATCAGTGATGACAATTTCAAATGATATACCATTCTCATTTACCAAAATAACAAAGTGTCTTAAAAGTTGGAGACATAAATGCAAGTCATTGTGTGCATTATAATCTTTCATGTTAGACATTCACATTTTCAGCAGATGATTGCTATCTTTGTCCTTAAGTAAAATACAAGGACATCTCCAGGTGAATAAGTATTTTAGAAGGTGGAGGATTGAAAAGCTTGCGCCCTTCCGCCAGTACTGTCATCTGCTCCATCCATCTCTGCTCTCCACTCTGCCCCACTCATCATACATCAGGATCTGCAGTCCCAACTGAGAGTGCCAGTGATTCATTTACCTCAAGGGCACTCTGGGAACCTTAGCAATCAACATGAGAACAATGGC